CGATATCATTTGTTCCTTGACCAACAACCAAAAGTAGTGCAGGGTTCTTCATAACTCGCTGTTGCCCTCCCTCGCCCCCAATGGTTTAATTTTGCGGGCACACTCCCTTCAACAAAGCGGGAGCTCATTTTCTTTACTCCATTACTTCAACGAAATTTTGTTCTCCTGAAAGTCATCTGAATTTTAAGGACATCGCTGAACCTTTGATGGATTTGCAATTGGCTATGAAAGAAATGGAAGAGTCAAAGACATTCCGAAAAGCCATGAGCATCTTCCTTGCCATTGGCAATTCATTGAGCGGTACAGAGGTACGCCGAACTTAGTCATCTGCTTTTTTGCCGTGGATTTAAAGCTGTCGGTTTAGATAATTCGTAGGTTGGAATTATATTATTCTATGTAATTAATAATTACTAGTTTCAGATCAAAGGCTTCCAATTGGATTACTTGGCAAAAGCATCGGAAGTGAAAGATCCCGTCTACAAACATACATTGACATATCATCTGGCCGAGTACATGCTTGAGCATTACCCAGAAGGAACGGATCTCTATACTGAGTTCGGAGCCGTGGCTCGAAGTGCAAGGGTGAGTATCAGCTCTATGAGACAGTTTGGACAGTGCCCGTTGAAACTCCTACTTACTCTTCAGTTTGTTAGATTTGATTCATGCTTTATGTACATGCGGGAAAGAAGGCTTGTCACCAAGAGGTTTGGAGCTCAGCCTTTCCTCTTTTCGGGAGTAATCGTCTTGGAGAGAAGAGCGAGCGGAGCTCTCACTTCCTAGTAGACAGGCCTGAAAGCCGTACGTGCGGTATTCCTCGGAAGCAAATGATCCGGGTGAAGTACAACTTGGAAACCCCCCAAACAAGGCATCTTCAGCTCTAGAATTTAGATCTCAAATGGAATCGGTTTTGGAAGAGGTTTTGTATAAATCGTTGTTGGAGTGGGAAGTACAGCTTCCAATCCATGAACGACTTTACTTCTCAAACCCATGGAGTATGACGGATTTCTATGAACCTAATGACCCTCCTCCCTAGTAGTTTTATGATATGTATGTTTTTTTTGAGAGAATTTTCAATTCCAGGTTGATTACAAGGAATTATTCGACAATTTGAAGCGACTCGAGAAGGAATGCAAAGCAAGCTGGGACTATCTGGCAAAGGTGATCTCTTTCATAGAGGAGCATTCATTAAGAAGTAGAGGCTTCTTAAACGGCTTGGGTATTTAGTATTTTGTTCGGGCTAGATAAGGAACAGTTTTTTCCCTCCCTGGGCA